ACTTCTTAAGTACATACAGAGAGTTGTTCAGAAGTTTTTTTCTTCAATTAAAAAGGCCTGAATGCTTATGAAAATATACAAGGAGCAATGAGTACAACTAACACTGAAGCCATGGTGATGGTATTTCGATAACAACAGTACCAAGTAAACATGTGAGTATTCATACTAAAAAATAGAACAGTGCAGATCTGTGATATGGGAATTGGTACCCACTGATTAAATAAAAAAACTCTTCTAAAATAAAGAATATTATAGTAATGCATTAGTGAATAAAAATAAGTCCTTAACATATTCAAAATACAAGAGTGTAGAAAGCCAGTCTTTACAGAAGCTAGCAACTAATTAATTTCACAATCGGCAACATAATACCAAATTCAAGCAAAAATTATCTATGGTTTCTCTAACCACTAGCTGAGAAACAGGATGTTTACCTGGTACCCGTGTCCTCTCTCCCAAACCTACTTGTCGTCTTCAAATAATTTATTTCAAGGGAAAAATATACTTGTACAATGGAAGGATTTGTTGACAATCATGTTAATTCATATAAGCAGTGTTGTAATCTGACATATGAAAAGCATATCAATAACTACAATAGCACTTCTGCCAAAACCATGAGGAAACAATCAAACCACTCTAGAGCAATGCAAGTAACACTTTGCTTGCTCTAAAAGAAAAGAAAAATTTAATATTAAAACAAAAAATAATTACAGTGTGAGAACAAAATATATTAAAAGTAACTACAGAGGCAAAGGTAAATTGGCCAGTACAGAAATTGGGAAAGAGGTATAAAAGGCACTTTGTAGTCCAAAACAGATTCTACAATGAGATTATACTGTAGAATTAATGATAATTATCACCCACAAAGAGCACAGATATGATGAAATTACATTATGTATCTTTAATGTTAAAAATTTAAAAAAACTAGAAGACAGCATCGTTCCTATTAAACTGATCACAGATTCAATCAGGCCATTTCTCATGTATTATTTACACTATGAAAACAGGCACACAAAAAATGCATGAATTTCAACAGTTTTCTATTCTGACAAAGAAGTAAAATACCTGTTTTAAGTTGCCAGGCAAAAGAGAGACAATTAAAAATTTAATATCGCAGAGTAATATGAGAGAAGCAGTAAGGGCAATAGTTCAAAAACCACTTAAAAAGCAAATGCACTTACAAGTACATTAAGTGCAGGATGATTTTTATCTATACTTGGTTTTCACCTTATGTGCTAACTATATAATCCTATACTATGTGACCTCACTTGTGATAAAAATGGGAAGCCCAGCACTTTTCCACATGATTTTGGATATGTAAACTGCACATTTTAGTTCTATTATGAGATGCTACTGGAATAAAAGTTTTCATGATCCTATGTTTAGAAAATGCAGGCTGATGAATCCTTGCTCTAAACGGCTAATAATTTTAGCTGGGAATGCAAGCAAAATACAAATACAGTTCATGGGTCAGGGACGAATGAATACCTTAAGTATTAAAACTCTAATAGTTATGGAGTACCCTTTGAGCTTTAATAGTGTCATCTATAAAAATGGATTTTTCTCAGATTTACTTTCAGATTAATAATATACAACACAAATAAATGTATACATATGTTCATATATATATACAAAACATATACAAACAGTTACAATTTAATAGTCGTGTAATACATTCCTCAGTTTATACTGTATTTTACTAATTTATATATAGAGAGAGTCCAATAATATTGTAACCTCTAACACATGACTTTTATCTACAAAAGTACTGTATTTGGTTCTGTAAGTCAAAAAGGTTTTATTTTTTGTAAATATTGTTTTTATTGCTATTATAAAAGTGATGCACAGAGGGATTACAGTCAGGTAATGAGTACATTTCTTCTTGGGCAATATCACTCCTTCCATCACTCTCTCCCAGTTTTTCCTTCCTATGCCCAGCCACAAGTTGTGTAATTCATTTCAACGTAGTGTTTCAAGTACCACTTCTGTACTTGTTCACCCTTTGTCCCTCCATTACTATGTTACACCTTACTCTCTCAAACACAGCTAAATAAAGAAGAAAAAAAGATTAGAAAACAAAAACAACAATAAAGAAAATACCTCATTTCTATTTCCTACAGTTTATTTTGATAAATATAATTTTACATGATTGAGGCACATAAGCATGGCACCTCTGTGTTCCTCCCCTAAGAGTCTCTCTGTGTGAATGCTAGAGTCCTGTATAATTTAATATATCCTGGTGTATTTTAGATCTACCTTCTACATATGAGAGAAAAATGTGCTGTTTGTCTCTCTAAACTTGGCTTATTTCACTTAACATGATTTGTTTTAGGTCAATCCATTTCCCTGAAAAATTTTTTGAAAATGTGTAAAATGTTTTATTCAACTAATTTGTTCCCTTAATTTTTGAGACACAGAAGTAACTTTAAACAGGGATATCTTATAATAAGTATTAAATTCTAGAGGAAATAAGTATTTTGGTGGGAGAATAGATCTATAACTTTTAGCAATTAGGGGTTGGGAATGTGGCTTAGTTGTAGAGTGCTTGCCTATCATACATGAAAACTCTGGGTTTGATTCCTCAGTACCACATAAACAGAAAAAGCCAAAATGGCACTGTGGCCCAAGTGGTAGAGAGCTAGCCTTAAGCACTGAGAGGCTCAGGGACAGAGCCCAAGTTGAAGCCCCAGGACTGGAAAAATATAAATTAAATAAAAACAAAAACAAAACAAAAATTTAGCAATTATGGAAATATTCCCCGCAGTATAATTTGATGGGGAAAGTTTGAAGTTAACACTTAAAGGAAGTGAGAATTGTATTGAGTAGTAATAATTAACAACTTTACTTGGCCAAGGAGTTTGATACTAGCACTGAGGGCGGTGAGAATTGAATTCACAAATTTGTGAATAAACCGACTATGTGATGGAAGAACAGAATATATTGCTAAATGGAAATATAAGAAATCAAAGGCTCATTCACTAGCCTTTCAGCAAGAAGAAACAACTAGAGAATCTAATTATGAATTAACTCTGAAAGAAAATTTATTGGTTTTATAGAAAAACAAAACAACCAGAAAAGGCTCACAAAGAAAAGCCTAAATTAAATTTTCTACTAAAACATCATGGCAGTGTTCAGTTTCAGATTCTGGAGCATTTTAGATTTCACTTTATTCGGTTAGGATGCTTAACCTAAAACAATCCAAAACCAGAAGCAAGCCGAGTCACTTTTAACAAACTGTAGAACATGCATACCATAAAATATTGTTTAGTAATAGAAAGAATGAACCATTTAAAATGAAATAACTTGTAAAGATTTTGAAGGAATTATGGTTTAGTTTAAACAGTGCCCAATTAATTACTTAGAATGTGAAAGGTTTTAGTTATTATATTCAAGAATTTTATAAAACAAAAATCAAAAGTCATATGTGGTATGATTGCATTTATATTCTTTAAGGAAATTAAAGAAATGAAAAATAAGTAAAGGAGAAGCCAAATTGAAAGTAAGCTGTGGAATATGGGGTAAGAGTGGACGACTTTATCATTATTATCATTAATAATGACTTACCAATGACAATACCTGCTTGAGTTATTACATCAGAGATTTGCACAATGCTATTCATGGAGTAAACAGGAAACAATACAAGGGTGTTATAGTTTGGCTATAGATATCCCCAAAGCCTCACATATTCAAGGTTTGGTACTTAAATGGTGGTGAAGTGACTGAGAAGTGATTATATTGAGAAGTGATTGTATCCAAAAAGTGCTAACTTTCTCAATGGACATTTCCAAGGTTTATATATATATATATTTGAATGAGCTATTAGGAAGTGGGGCTTAGTTGGGTAGGTCATAGGGGACATATCTTTTAGGAGTTTGTTTTACTTCTGGTCACTAGCTGGGTCTTCTGTCTGGCTACCAGGAGGCAGCAGATTTTTCTATCATGCTCTTCTACCATGATTTACTGTAGGCCCCAAAAATGTAGCCAAATAATCATGGACTGAAATCTCTGAAGCTGTGAGCCAAAATACATCTTTGCTCCTTGAAGTTGATTTTCTAAAATATTTTGTCAGTTATAGAAAAATGACTAACACACAAGAACTCTATCACTTCTTATTATTTCTTACATATGTACCACCATATCTCAAAATAAACTAAGAAATATTGACTACATGTTCATTGTTTTTGTTCTAGCTCAACTTTATACAAAAACCTTTGATTTCCATAGGTATGTTTTCAAAGAGATCACCATGAAGAAAGACCATGAATGAGCAGGATGTGTAGGGCTTTACATACAACTAACAAGAAATGGGGATTATTGCAAGATGCTCATCAACTGAGCTTATTAACATACATGCCATACGTGCAGAATTTTTTTGACCTGGCATAATGAAAAGTACTGATATTCACTCATTTCAAATTGTTTAACACTTATTTTCTATTCACTGGAGGTATCAAAAAGTAAATGGACTTCCCTAGGCAAATATGAGTTGCTCTATTCTTTATTAAAAAGACCATATTCAAATGAACAGCATATATGAACACAGATATAATTAGGTAACCCAGAAATCAAAATGTAGGATATGAAAAGGACAAAATATTCTTGATCTTTCTTGGCGAATTTAATAAATATATAGTTTGATGCCTGCAATAAAATATTAGCCTATAAAATACGCTGATTTTAAGCTTACTCTATAATGTTCATAGTTGTATTCCACAATTATTTTCATATATATATATATATCAGGTTAAACATATAAATAACATTTTTTTGAGGGGGGATCTGGTCGAGGGGCCTGAACTCTGGGCCTGGGCGCTGTCCCTCAGCTCTTCAACTCAAGGCTAGCACTCTACCACCTGAGTCACAGTGCCACTTCCGGCTTTTTTTTTCCTGCTTACGTGGTGCTGAGGCATCAAACCCAGAGCCTCAAGCATGCAAGGCAAGCACTCTACCACTGAGCCACCTTCCCAGCCCCCACTTTTTGAAACTTTAAATACATAACTCACCTGCAAACAGAGCACTGCCGCTGAGGCTGTAGAGCCGTGAACATAACAATCATAGAATAGTTTCGAGGTGGTGCCTTCACAAACTTTCGGAATTTATCACCATTCATTCGGAAAATGGAGCGCCTAGAACTCCATTCCATCAGCTGTTCTACCTTTTCAGCCAAAAGATTCTGGAATTATACACAAAAAAATTAAAATTACACAGGGTTAAACTATTACTGATACTTTCCAAACAGAAGTTATGTTAAAACTGAATTTTTACCACATTAGTTAATGTTCTCGTTTTGGTGAATGGACTTATTGTTAATTGACCTGTTGTGCATAAAATACTTCATTGTTCCTAACAATTTCAAAATACTATAAAATACATTTTAAAAATCAGAAAGATGAAATCCACATACATTTTCCTAATCTTCCCACTAAATACATAGTAATGTGAACATTTTACTATGTAAAGAAGCTTTTATAGGTAAAAAGAAGGCAGACTGGCTAAGGATCACATAACCTGAAAAATGAAAAAGCAATGAGTTCCCTGGATTTTCACTTCGTATTTAAAGGACTCTTTAGAGAAGTCCACATTGCAAATGAACACTTACTGTCTCTACCCAAGAGACAACGAAAAGGGCAGGCTGGTAAAATAACTGTTCTTCAACCAAACACCATAGAACAACTGTGGTCTCATTACCACTGGCAGGTTGAATAGGAGCCTCTGCTTGACTAATTTTAAGAGTTTATGTAATCCTAATGATTCACAAGACTGAGATATTGAAAACAGAATTAAAACAAAGTCAGCTGGAGCAGAAATGAACAAGAGAGTCTATCTCCAATTAACAAGCAAACAGAATGGAAGTTTGTCTCAAGTGGTATAGACAGGCTATCAGCAAAAAGCTGAAAGAGTAAGAAGGCAAGGTCCTAGGTTCAAGCCCTAGTACTGTTAACACACACACACACACACACACACACACACACACACATCTAAATTAATCTACTGTGATGAAATGAAGATAGGACTAAAGTGGAACAGGCAGGACAATGTAAATGCCCAATGGCTGGGAGATGGCCTAATGGGAGGTAGAGTGCTATCAATAATATTATTTTCTCGAGGGTAGAGAGGACACTGTAGATTAGCCTTTAGAGCATTCATTTTTATCTAAAAATCCCTGTACAGGATTGCATATGTGTAAGAAAAAGAAATGCTCTGCCTTGGAAAAACCAAGTGTCTATGGTCAAGAAACAGGCTTGAACAGGAAAGCCCAACTCTGGAATTTAGAAAGAAATTCATTTCTTTTCCCTCCCTTCCCAATAGTTGTGCATCAGTGGCTCCTCATGAATTGCATAGATGAGCTTGTGTACATGAATCAGACAACAGGTACACAGGCACCTGCTTTAAATGCAAAGACCTGACATGTATGCACTCGCTTAAGTAAACGAAGAAGACAAACTGAAAGACATGAAAGAGAGGGAAGAAGAAATATTAACCAGTACAACATACAGAATTTTTAATTAGTAATTTATGCTCTACATTCAGTTCTGGTATGCTAACTAAATGAAAAAATATATGGCTCATTACTGAGATGACTGCTAGTATTAAAAACCTGAACCTGGGTATAGTGTCTCAAGCCTGTAATCCTAGCTACTCAGGAGGCTGAAATCTAAAGATCTCAGTTCAAAACCATCCTGGTCAAGAAAATCCATGAAACTATTATCTCCAAAGCCCACAGAAAACTGCAAGTGGAGCTGTGGTTCAAAGTGGTAGAACACTAGTATTGAGTGAAAGAGATCAGGGACAGCACTCTCACTCCAAGTTCAAGCCCAAGACCAAAAAAACACACACACAAAAAACATAAAAAACAAACACACAAACAAACTAAAACACCCGACATAATTTTGCTGTAACAAAATGGTCAAGACCTCAAGTTGATCTTAACTTCTAAACAAATTACTAAGATCTAGTTAATAAGCAATTCTTTAGTTTTGCCTACACATATGAATATGTTTCTACACATAAAATCATAATCTTACTAAACTCAAACTAAAATAAAGCTTATTTTAGAAAATAATCAGTCTCATCAGTATACCCCTAACAATTGGAAGGTACACAGGAATTTTGTTATCTGTTCTTTAAATTAATTCTAAGAAACAAAGTAATGGTATTTTCCATGTTAGGCATAATCTAATGGTGTGTTACAGAATACTGTTATATAATTAATAGAACATATGTGATAGTCTTCAACTCTTCACTATAACACTTAGCAAGACAATATAGTATCTATGAATCTTTTATACAAAGAAAAATATTGTTATATATAAGCATTTATATTTTATATTATTCATATATTTTATATTTATGTATTTAGAAATTGTGACCCTCTATGAAAAAAACAGAATCAGGATAGAAATCAAGCAGGGAAATCCACTAAGGAGGACAAAAAGTAATTGGCCTTTAAATAGTTGCCTATATATTCCTACTGTGTTTTAGTATAGCTTTCTCATTAAATACAACATACAAACAACACACACACAATTCCGTACTACTTTTTGCTTTTACAATATTATTCTTACAGAATTCTGTTTGTTGTTTTTGGTTTGAACTCCAGCAGTTAACCTTGATAGGAACAGGCTCTATTTGAGCTACTTTGCCAGCCCACCAATCCTCTTGGTGTTGATTACTCTAGAAAAGGGTCTCGTTTTATGCTCTAGTTTTCATAAACAATCCTTGTGCTTCCCTTTGTTGTTGAGATGGCAGGCACATGTACTTTCCCTGTAACTCAGGATAACAATCATTAGTTGAGATGGAGTCTTCTGAACTTTTATACTCATGTTGACCTCCATCTTCAACTCCCAAATATTTAGGAATATAGTCTTGAGCCACCATGCTCACCTTTCCATTTTTTAAAACACTACATAATTATATCAATATGTTTCTACTAAAACATAAAATAATTGCAGAGGGTCAAAGTTTTTACTCCACTTACAAGATCTTAAAGCCAAAGTTAATCTTACAGAGGGTACAAGCATGAATTCTCAATGAAAGATATTCCTTATGCCACAACAATCAGAATGAGCTTTTTGTCATTCACATCCTAACAAGTCCATAAAAGATGACACTGAATAACCCAATTCTTAAAAGACCCCACATTTCAAAGGAAACGCTAGAAAAACATGCAGATAAAACAATTCTTCTATAATCTTGCACAAGAAACATATCTGCCTTCTGTCATAGAAAAGATATGTGTCTATCCTCCAAGACTTCTGTATAACAATATCCTTGAAACGAATGTCATACTAAAATTGTTAATGCTAGTACAGATGTGCAGAAACATGAGACCCAGTTTCAATAATGTCACACAGTATGTTCTTTATTACAATGCAGAATTTGAAGACATCTACATATTTTAGAAGTACAGAGGTATGTCTCCTCAATATAACTCCTCAATATTTTAGTTCTGCTATATATGTATAAAAGACAGCACAAATATATGCAACAAACTTGAAAATAGCCTTTGAGTGGTAGAACCCAGTCACTGATCCTGACAATTACTCTTGGCTATCAAAAACTTTCCATCTACCTTTTGGCAGGATGGAATTATTTTTTCAAAGTCAAGTAATAATATTTATCTTTATTCAGAAATTCTTTCATCTTAATTAAAAGTTCAAACTTAGATGGCTTTTAGAAGTGATGTCACATCTGTGACTTTTTTAAGGTATCATTAAACAATGCAATTTTTCTTAAGAAACTTAGCAAATTATTACAACAAGAATATAAATACACGATAGTACTTTTAATTATTATGTATTTTACCTCAAAGGTAAAAGCCACAAAAATATCCTACCTTAATATGCCACAAGAACTTTCATGCACCAAAATCTGTGCTAAAGAACAAAAATAAGGCTGGTACCCATATTTTCCAAGTGCTTTCCATTTTAAAGTTAAAATTAAGTTCATTCACATATGACATTTCCTCAGTAGGTAAGATATTTCTTATTTCAGTGACCAGAGCTGGTAAGTTACATTGTCATTTAAAAGCCAAACAAAACACAACAAGGCTGGTGTCATAGCTCAACAAAAGAATATTTGCTTAGCATGCTCAAGGTCTGGTAGTAAATCCCAAGCACGGTGCGGGAGGGGGAATACACAGCAATGGATAGGTATCACCTGGCTTATCTTTCTTTTTATAGTACATTTGTAGTTACCAAGCAGTTACAATATTCCTCCAAAACTGTTCAAATCTAAATCTTTCCTTTTCCTAATTAATGATTCATGCGTTGGCAAGTACTCTGCTACAAATTTTAGGTTACGCAAGGATACACAGGCATGTTCTATATTTTGTCTATGTAAAAATATAACTTTTACACAATCATGTCTTCGAAAAGATAGAATACAATTGAACATACTGTTTATACTATGGATAATCTATAACGTATTTCTTTAAAGAAAATGTCCATCAAGTGATTATTGTCTGACAGAAGTATCATTGGTATTTTTTTATTACTGTGACCATCATGATAAAGACTCTAAATCATTGTGAAATTCCAATGCCAGGTTCAGTGTTCAAATTTGCTAGAATGTCAGTCACTACTGCTTTACCAGATTTGTATGTTCATTCTCATTCTGCCTCTGTCTCTACCAGATTAGTATGTTTATTTTCATTCTCTCTATACCAGATTTGTATATTCATTCTCTCTCTCTCTGTCCCATGCATCTAGATACAACTATCCTTTAATAGGTGAAAATAGGATATCCTTGTTTTAATTTACATTCTTATTTTCTAGCAAAATTGAGCACTTTCTATAATTCTGCATACATCTGCTTTAACTGCCTCATGTCCATTATCTTTTTTTTTTTTTTTTTGGTCTGTCATGGGTTTTGAACTCTGGGAGCTGTCTCTGATCTCTTCAGCTCAAGGCTAGCACTCTACCACTTGAGGCCACAGCGCCACTTCCAGTTTTTTGGTGGTTAATTGGAGATAAGAGTGTCATGGGCATTCCTACCCGTGCTGGTTTTGAACCATAATCCTCAGATCTCAGCCTCCTGAGTAGCTAGGATTACAGGCCTGAGCCACCAGCGCCTGGCCCATTATCTTTTTTCTACTCACAAATATAGAAATTTGTAATATAAAACAGATAAAAATGAATGCAACAATACCATATCCAGAATATTGATACAAGTGGTATGAGGCTAACATTTTATTACTTTTGCATTACCTTCTATGTATACATGGGTAGACAAAGATAAGTAAACTTATAATATGTGCAAAAGGTTATGTTTTAAAGTACATAATTTTTGTGAGATACTTTTGTTTAAACAGTTTCAACGTATATGAAAATTCCATTTATTTAATCTGAAAAAGAAAAAAAAAACATGTTCTAACATGGTGATGAATACCAATTAAGAAGTGACATTTGCGAAGCACCAGTGGCTCATGCATATAATCCTAGCTACTTTGGAGTCTGAGATCTGTGTATCATAGTTGGAAGTCAGCCAAGGCAGAAAAGTTTATGAAACTCTTATCTCCAATACATTAAAAAAAAGGATAGCAGAAGCAGAACTATGACTCAAGTAGTAGAGCATTAGCCTTGAGCAATACAAGCTCAGAGACAGCACCTAGGCCCTTAGTTCAAGCCCCCGGCCTGGCCAAAAAAAAAAAAAAGAAAAGATGCTCCTTGTGGATCTCACTTAGTATTTCAGTTGCTTGACTATTCAAATAATCTTCTTTCCTAATGTGATTACTCAAGCTAGATTAGGATACCAGAAAAATGCTCATGAAATTTTTCATATAAATTTTAAGTTCAAACTACTTTCAAGACTTTTTTTCTAAAATATAACAGAGTGATGAAAGTATTCTCTCATGAGGGTAGTAGTAAAGTTAGGGCTATACATTTTTTTCAAAGCCATAAAAAATATACCAATCACAAATCCTATTGGCATAGATTTTAAATATCAATCTCAGAGAGGTAGGAGTTACCAAAATGAAATGCAAACCCTCATAAATAAGCCTAATATAACACTATGTTGTTAGTTATTGCACACATTATGTTAAAATTATATTAGAGTTAAATAAGCATGTATATTGTAAAGAATGTCATATTAATAGTTGTCAAAAAATCACAAATAAAGCAAAAGGCAAAACTCTGTGGTTTGGAATAGATGTGGGAGGCATCATATCTGTGGCTTTTAAAATAGAAATGTAAAAGAGAAACAGAAATGAGCTTGCATGGACAAATTAAGGAGGGGTAAAGAGAGAGAGGGGGAGAGAGAGAAAGAGAGCTTCTAAGCTCTGCTGAGAGGACTGAGAATTGTTGATATGCCAATAGCCACAAACCTTGATTTCTAAATATCAGCATCATTAAAAGGAATCAGAAGTGGTCGATTAAAAGGTTAAAGGGAAGAATGTTACATGAATTGTAAATTTATGATACTTTATTTTGCCAGATAATGAGTTGCTGCTCAAGTCACTGAAAACAAAAAGAATGTGAGAAAATACTAAATTACTCAAGACTGAAAATTTTGAGCACATGAGAAATGAAAATAGAATTGAAGTTAAATCACATAATTATTTTACAAATAATGGAAGAAAAGGAATAAACCATGATTAAAGAAAAATTCTAAATACATATTTAGAAGCCACAAAGGAAATTTTATAAAGCATCATTAGAATACCAGGCTAGGACTCAGGAAAGTTTACTACTTTAGGTGAATTTTGACAAACTGCATATTTTCACAACACTGATGTTTATTAATCATCATGACAGAAACATTACTATGATAATAGAGAATTACAGTAAATAAAACCTTACCCAAAAAATGATTCTCAACAGTACTAATAAAAAGACTTACTGATATTAGATAATTCATGACACAGTCCACTATAGGAAATCATTTTTTGCTATGCCTCCCCCCAAAAATGAAACTTCATTCTAATCATGGGAAAACATTAGAGATACTCAAATAAAGCAACATATTGAAAAAAATACCTGACTAATATTCTTCATAGGTATCAAATTCATGAAAGACTAGGAAGTAAAGAACAAGAAACAAAGACTGAGGAACCATCATAGAAAGAAGAGGGCTAAGGAGACAAGGACAAGGAATCTGGACAGGACAATGTCAAACTCTGAACTGGAAATCTAGTGAAAATGGAATAACAGAATATAGGTTCGCTAGTAATACTGAACAATTTTATTTTTAGTAGCTCTACTCACCTTAGAGACGATGAGAAAGACATATGAATTCTGCACAATTTGCAACTTAAGTCTTGAATTATTTCAAAATGAAGAAGGGATTAATATAAAAATATAATGCCTTCAATTTTTTAATATGCAAAGTTTTCAATACTAGTCAAAACGAATGAAAATTTCTGAACTATATATTCAGATAGATGATTAACATTTAGTGTTATAGTGGTAGATACTTGAAATGCATAGTTTTTAGTTTTCCTATTTTGTGATGACTATGAAAGTTATACAAAAAGAAAACAACAGACTAAACATTTCATACTCTGATAGACTTGTTAGGAAATTTTCAGGATGATACTTAAAGCATGCCCTCAAGAAATGGAAGTATATACAAAAGCACATGTATTTCTTCATACAGGAGAATTAGAAAGCGTACCCTACAGACTCAAAAATACTGTGTGGAAGGCACAGAACTAGAGCTTGAGAACACAAGAACCAATATGATTACTACTGCCCTTCCTTTATAAAAAAACTTAGGTTTCTCATATAAGTACATCTACTGACTATTGAAAACAAATTTTTTTTTTTTTTTTTTTTTTTTTGTCGGTCGTGGGGCTTGAACTCTGGGCCTGGGCGCTGTCCCTCAGCTCTTCAGCTCAAGGCGAGCGCTCTACCACTTGAGCTACAGTGCCACTTCCG